GAGACTCTGCCAGATGTTCCCAGCAGACCCTCACAATACGTTTGGGTCTACCAGCTCTGACCGGCATCCTCCCCCATCATCGGAGCTGACTCACCACCATCGTACAGGCACCAAGATGGGGGCAACAAGTATGCCCACTCCTGCTCGGCGCCTCTCACCAGGGGCAACTCGAGTCCAGAGTGAAAGAGTGTCCAACTCCTCTCAAGGAAACTGGTTCAAGAGCCAGAGCCATGCATCAAGGTGAGTCTGACTATTTCTAACAACCTCACACACCAGCTCAGGCTCCTTCCCCACCAGTGAGGTGACATTCCACGTCCCAATAGCCAGCTTCTGTAGCCAAGGATCAAACTGCCAGGGTCCTCACCCTCGGCCATCACCCATCCCACATTGCACCCAACCCCTTTGGCCCCTCTCACAGGTGGTGAGCCCATGGGAAGGGGGACCCACGTCTCCTCTTCGGGCTGTGCCCGGCCGGGCTCCATGGGTAAAACCCCAGCCACCAGGCACTCGCCAGCGTGCCCCACCTCCAGGCCCGGCTCCAGAGTGGGGCCCCGGTGACCCACGTCTGGACAATGGAACACTGTTTCTATACATTTTTCCTCATCATAAGGGGTCTCTGGGCTGCACTTTGTCTGGTCCCTCACATAGGACCTGTCTGTCTTGGGTGACCCTACTAGGGGCATGAAGCCCCTGACAGCATAGCTCCTAGGAACATTGGGACCTCTTTAGTACCTTTATCCTGATTTTACACCATGGAAGGCACACTATATCCACCACAGAGGATCCTTCAAAGTTCAGCTTATTTGAACCTTTTGAACACATTTTTGGAAAAACAAAGTCTCGTCTCTGACTTAGTTTTCCTATTTGTTAAAATAGCTTTAAGCAAGATTCAAAATGTACAGATTTGAAGTAAACCTCCTGAAAATTCTTCCTGCAGATTCAGTTCAGATGAACTAAATTAAACTCAAAGACTTGCTGATCTCTTTTCTCTTTGCACATGCATTATTCAGTTTTCATTGGTTCTCCAAAGAGGCTGCAATGCTATACTGTGCCTTAATATTTGTTACAATATCAATAAATGCTTATTTTTAAGGCACTGAAGATAACTAGACACTGTTGGCTTAAAAAAAAACTATACCTCTGTTTATATAAATGTGTGTATACTGTTCCTGCTCAGATCGAGCACAGTTTAACAGTAAATATCACAGAAATGTATTTATTACAGTCTGGGTTTAATACACTGTTTACCAACCATTTATCACTGAGCCAGGTAATATTCCCTGTGTGCGTTCTCTTTGCACTATGAGCTCCATAAATCATGAGAATATCTGACATTCTTGCTTTACCTCCCAGTTATTTTCAACCCCAAGCAATAAAACTTGTTAGTAGAAAAGTGTACAATCACATAGAAGCACATTTCCATTCTCCTCAGCCCAAGCAGATCTGAAGCCTGTCCCCCCCATGGCTTTATCACAATGGGAGGGGGTGCTATCACATGGTGCTGTTAAACTGACCAACTGTGAAGAGCAACGACTGCACAAAGCGAGAAAGACTTGATCGACAATCCAGCAGGTGATAGCAGATAACTGTCCCTCTGAGTATCCTGATGCATGCTCAATAATCCAGGTAGAAAGATCCAAAAAAGTTCAATCTGGTCCTCTGGACATTCAAAAAAATAAAAAACAAAACAAAGCAAAAAAATATAGAAACGTTTTGTCTCTCATTCGAGAGACTTCCTCAGTCTGAGGTGCTGTTTTCAGCTCAGTCTCTTAAATAGCACCTTCTCAGAGTGGATCAACCAGTTTGCTGCTGACAACCAAAACCAGCTGATCACATGGTCAAGAAGGACCATCAGCCTAACAATGGATCATTAGCACACTGATGGGTGTTTACTATTCACAGGAGGTTGAGTGATACTAGCAATCACAGCATTGTAAGAGGGGGACAGTTGAACACGGAGGCCTCCACCCCTGTTTAATGATGGATGATTTATTTTCACAAAGATGGCCTCCTTTACTCCTTTCTCAAACCATCGTTCCTCTCTGTCCAGGATGTGAACATCTTCATCCCTGAAAGAGTGACCGCTGGCCTGGAGATGAGTGTAGACCGCAGAGTCCTGTCCTGATGATGTTGATCTTCTGAGCTGGGCCATCCTTTTGGCCAGTGGCTGTTTAGTTTCCCCGATGTAAGACTGATCACAGCCCTCCTGACACTGAACAGCATACACAACATTACTCTGTTTGTGCCGGGGGACTGGATCTTTGGGATGAACCAGTCTTTGCCGTAATGTATTTTGGGGTTTAAAAACCACTGGTATGTTATGTTTAGAAAATAAACGTCTCAGTTTCTCTGATACTCCTTCAACATATGGAATGACCACTGGTCTGGGTTCCTCCTTTTCACATGATGGCTGACTGGAGTCCTGTTTGGGTTTCTTCTCTGCTTTCAGGAAGGCCCTCTGAGGCTACAGTAAAATGACCTCCACCAAGAATAATGAGGTCTAGATTACCTGTTTGTTTGACAACACATTGCTTTTTGCCCACTTTATCAGTGAGTGCCAACAGAAAACAATCAGGGATTCAAAATTCCCTGTTTGAGCTTTCAAGAAAACAATTTTTTTTTCTCCGTGCGACTGGTGAATTTAGAGGAATGAGCCCAAAGAGACGGTCATTGCTCTGTTAATGTGTGCCCGACTGCTGGGAACGGCTGTGCCAACGAGCTTCCTGAAGGCCGTTACAGCACCGAGATCTGTTTGTATTCAGGCAAAATATCAGTAGAAGAAGCTGCAGCTGCAGCTGATCTGAATCCAGTAAATAAAAACTGAATTTTATAATTACACCCGTAAACAATTTTTAGATGAAAATGGAAAACTAGAAACTTCTGAAGCGATGTTGAATAGTACCAGTGGAGCTAAATCTTCTTTAAAACACAGTAATGGTTTTAAATTTACTTTAGTAATATTCTAGAAATGGAAAATTCCACAGGTTTGATGTATAAACTGTGAATGAGGCATAAAAAGAACCAAGATTGAACAAGCCAACCACACACGGCACATTATCGGCACCAGGTCAGTCTAGTGCTGATACGCATGTGCATCAAGTCTCGTTAAATTTTCTTCAGCAGATCAGAAGTTACGAGCAGGAAAACAAAGACCTAGTTATAAATTTGACCTTGATTTGTGACCTTGACCTTGAAGCATGAGTTGAAGAACAGTGCTTGTGATACTTCATCTACACGTGCATGAAGTTTTGCTAAATTATCTCGAGCAGATCAGAAGTTATGGGCGGGACAAGAGAAATCTTACGGACGGATGAAGTGTATGTTACAACACGTCCGCCTTTCGACAGGCGTATAGAAAAACGTTACAGCTGCTGCTAGACGATCGTAAGGGTCACCATGGTAACCACACATCTATGACCATCGCTCCCTGACAATGCTCCTAACAGGCAGACAGAAACACATACTACAAAGTAAGCCTCAAACAGTCACTCTGTGAAAAACAAGTATTAAAACACTTCACAAAGTTGAACATTTTGTAGTAAAATCTTCAAAAAAATATAAAAAGTTTTTTTAAAGATATCAAAAACACCAGTTTTGTCTTGTAAAGTCCAACTTCCTGGGACCTGTTTAAACTCTGAATTATGTTTCTGCTGTGAAGTATGAGCTCCAGACAGACCAGGGTTTTAACAAAATCCCAGCCAGTGGTGTGGTCTACATTTTTGTAGTGGGTATATTGTGCTTAGAAACCAAAGTACACTGGTTAGTACAATGTAATCGTCAATTTATTTAGATTTTTAAGCATATTGAACATTTCCAAATTTCTCTGATGCTTATATTTGAATAACAAACTTTGTACAACAGTTGGCTTTGTATTAAAACATGTTATAGAATTTATAAAACAGCATCAAAGTAAAGCGTTGCATACAGATAGACTGTTACGGGAGTGTTTAACTGATGTTTAACATATCAATGACACGTGTCTAATGATATGTCATGTATCATTGGGCACTTTTAAATGGGTATACTGAAATTCTTAAGCTTTTCTAGTGGGTACACTCCATATACCCGAGTATCATGTACTACACCACTGATCCTATCGTTGTGCATATTATTTCTGACAGTCCCACATTTCAGTGTATTTTATGGATGTTTTTATCTAAAGTTGCTGCAAGACGAGTGAACTTTGGAACAAAAACAAAAAAGTAACGACTAAATAGTAATTAGGATCTTTTAGTGTCTGTGTCCGAGTGTCCAAAAAACAGTTTGATCGTTGGTTTTGTCGTAAAGTGACCTGAGATGACTTTTGGTGTGGACTGGTGTTGTAAAAATAAACTGAATTGAAAAGTGCTCTTTTACTGGCCCCATTATTCAAAACTCAGACACAACCATTACAGGAGGAGCATTTCTTTATGTTGAGACTTTTTACAAATCCATTTTACACCAAGCTGAGGGAACTAGGGGTGCTATGAGTGCAACAGCATTGCCTTGTGGATGACAAAAATGATCATATTTAAAAATAAAAATCTAAATATAGGAATGAATAAATGAAAAAGTATCCATCATTCACTGAGTCAACTGTATTTTTATGATAACTTATCATTGGTGGAAATGCTCTCACTTCACACGTTCTCACAGCATCTCATCTCCACAGTTATGATTTCACATCATATTTATGCATCAGTTGAACAAGTTAATAACCCACCCAGTCTGTCTACAGCAGGACTATTCAAATAAATGGCTCAGGGGGCCACACTTAATGAAAGCAAACAGCTCTCTGGGGGCTGACATCAGTGTCATTACATAAATATAATTTACAATTTATAGTTTTATTTTAAATATACACACGCGTTGTGCAGCTTTGTCACAGATCATTTCTGTACCAAGACTTTTTTTGTTTTATTTCAAATGAACTGGACCGGAATGAGCTCGCCCATGGGCCAGATGTGGCCCTTGACCCCCCCCCCCCCCCCCCCCAAGCCCTGGTAAAAACCCAAACTAACCTTTTTCTTGGACGCCTCAGACTTTTTGGACATGTTTCTTAGTTTTTTGTGCAGGTGGTTGATCACCTGAAACAAGCAGACACATCATCAGGACTTCTTGACTCACTCGTGGACTTTAACCCCTCCACCGACCCCAGGGGGCTTCCTGGTCTCACCTTGGCGTAGCAGAAGGAGATGAGCAGCAGAGGCAGCACGTAGCCGAACACGAACGTGCACACCACGTACACCTTCTTGTGCTTGTGGTCCGGCCACACTTCCCAGCAGTACGTGCTGTTCTCCCCGCGCTGGAACAGGTTCTGGTGGTGCATGACGGGCGCAGCCATGGCCAGAGACAGGACCCAGATCACCACCACGCCGATGAGCGCGTGCCTCGCCACCCGGATGGAGCACGACTTCCTGGCGTGCACGATGGCCACGTAGCGGTCCACGGACATGGCGGACAGCGTGAAGATGCTGACCAGCATGGACACGGTGAAGAAGTAGTGGATGAACTTGCAGATGAAGGCGCCCAGCACCCAGGTGGGCATCATGTAGATGGTGGACTGGAAGGGGATGCAGAAGAGCAGGTAGGACAGGTCCGCGATGCTCAGGTTGAGGATGAAGATGTTGGTGGTGCTCCGGGGTTTGCCCGGTTTGCTCCGCGCCAGCACCGTGATCACCATGGAGTTCCCCAGCACGCCCAGTGTGAAGATGAGCCCGAACACCAGCAGCGTGATGAAATTATCCGTCCCGATCCCGAACAGAAGTTTCTGCTCCTCTTCCTCAGCCAGGCTCAGGTTCCAGAGCTCTCCGGAGAGCCACGCGGACTCTGAGGAGTTCATGGTGTCTCCTTCAGTGCTCCTGCTGTCCGGAGGTCATGGCTCCTCTGCGCCTCCTGCTTTAACTTCAGCTAAAACCTCCTGTGTTGCTCCTGCTCCTCACCAGCAGACCACTCTCCCCCCCTCCTCCTGCATGCTGAAGCGGCTCCTGGTCCTGTTGCGCATCAGGCGCGTGTGCGCTCGTGCAGTGCGCCGCCTGCCCCTCTGCATCTGGACTTTTTCCTCCCTCTCCTTTAAAGCAGGGGGGCTGGGCTGGGCCGCGTGCGTCAGCACCCATACCACCTCAAAGAGACACGGAGGGGAAATGAAAAAAAAGAGAGAATTCATTCGTTCATCCATGAATTCAACCATTTCCTCATGATTCGGTGCCAGATGTTCTACCATGACCAAAACACATCAGTTTGACTGTTTCTGTATCACAAAGAGGAAAAACTGTTTATCTCATAAGGGGATAATGTTTTTACCCGTGTCTGTAGGTTTGTTTGTCTGTTAGCAAAATATCTCATGAATTACTGAACTGGTTTAAATAAAATGTTCACACGGTACTGGATGTACATCTACAACTCATGAAGTTATGGAGTGAACCCAATTCAAGATGGCCGCCACATAACCAATCTTAGCATGACAGTCAGTTTTCGGGACACGGAGCTCAAACTTGGTGTGGTAGTAGCTGAGGGTCATTCCCACCTGCACACATGCATGTGAGGGATTTTTCTGTTCTTTATCTTTATTTTCATTTCGTATGGTGTTTATTTTCTGTTACTGGTTGTGTGTCTGTCATTTTCAGTCAGTTCCTCCGTCCTGCCACGCCCTCTCCCACCTGCTCCCTGTCTCCCATCTTCTCATCTGCCTCAGTCCTTAAACCTCCTCTGTTTTCACTCCATCAGAGTCGTCTTCGTGCTTCTCAATAAGTCTGCGCTCACATCAGCTCTTTGTTTTCATTTCTAACATTAACACTCATTAATGCAGACGCACAGAAGCACACCTGTTCTGCTTGGTTGTCATCACAGTTTTTGTGTGTTTTCACAACCTGCAGATTAAAAACACAAATAAACACAGACATGGAATCAGGAATCATGGGAGCAGTTTGTTGTACAATGTAGAGCAAACATGTGGTTACATTGAAAATGATCACTACAGTGGATTAGATGGGGGTGGGTGGGGGGGTCAAGGACAGCCTGGTGCTTTTTTGCATTTCCAACCCTAATTAAAAGCAGTAAAGTGTGACCAAGAGCTCTGAGGATTCAGTCAGATTGAAATAAACGCTAACCAGCAAGAGCTGAAACAAGAAGCCTGAGCTGAAGTAAGACAGCAGGAGTCTGCTGGTTTGAGCTGAGAAATTAAAAATAAATACATTATGGTCTTCATAACTCCAGATTTACATGAAATTATACACTTTTTATTGGAGCATTTCTATTTATGCTGTCACTGTCATAAATATACCAAAATTATGTATGAATATTACGTACAAAATATTTCTGTTTCTTTACAGAACATCTATAGAGGTGTGTGTGTGTGTGTGTATGTGTGTGCGCGCGCGCGTGCACAGCATGGTGAAATGTTTGCCTTTTGTGATTACCAGCTCTAACCTACTGTGTCGGCACAATTTATTCAATTCAATTCAGTTTATTTATATAGTGCCAAATCACAACAAAGTTGTCTCAGGGCACTTTACAGGAACATTCACATTAAAGCCAATTAGTAAAGTTCTCTATCTAAGGAATCCAGCAGACAAGTTGAATCTTGGCTTCGTTGCAGTCTCCCATCCTGAGCAAGCACAGTGGCAACAGTGGAAAGAAAAACTCCCTTTTAATAGGAAGAAACCTCCAGCAGAACCAGGCTCAGGACAAGCGGCCATCTGCTTTGACCAGCTGGTTGAGAGGACAGGAAGGAGAGACAGACGAACACAGAATGGTAGGTCCAGGTGTATCTGAAAGACAAAAAAACACATGTTAAGGATAAAAAAAAAATTACAAATACAAAACAGGTTGAGCAGAGTAAGTAAAACAGAGTAAGTAATTCTGGTCTGTACATTTAGTGCACAACCTCTGTACATTTAGTGCACAACCTCTGTACACAAGTTTTATTGTGACACATGACGAGTTTCTAGGGTAGGGGTGTTCAGTCCTGGTCCTCCAGGGCCACCATCCTGCATGATTTACTTGCTCCTCTGCTCCAGCACACCTGGTTTGAATCACTGGGTGGTTAACAGGCTTCTGCAGAACATGAAGAGATAATTCAAGCACTGAACCAGGTGTGTTGGAACAGGGAAACAAGGAAAACATGCAGGAGAGTGGCTCCTCAGGACCAGGGATAGACATCCCTGTTCTAGGGTGATACAAGGTGGATGAGTGGACATTTCAAACAGTCAGTGTAAAAATTATCTGTAGAAACATTTATATTTGTGTAAAAACCCAACTATTTTTCAACAAAAGACCACCATCCATTTTTAATACCACTGTCCTATCCTCATGGTCTTTCCCCTTTTCTATGTAAAGAATAAGGGGCCACACTCCTAGGAGCTGCAGCCACGTGCACTCCGCCCATATTTCAGACGACTGTACGGAATATAACCTCACTGCACTTTGGTGCAATGATAATAAAGCTGATTCTGATTCTGACAATGTTCAGTCAGGTCATCTGGACGGCTTCTTTTTTTGCTGAGACGTTTCGTCCTTCATCCAAAGGACTTCTTCAGTCTGAGGAGCCACAAACAAACTGGAATCCCACAAGCACCAACTCCCATAGTTGAAAAATCCAGTTTGCTGGTGATAAGATGGTTTCTGGGGTTCACCCTCTCCCCTATTGACTCCTCTAAGGCAGCCATGTCAAAGTGGTTCAAAACACCAAAGTCCATGCTCAATAATCCAGGTACAAATCCAACAATGTCCAGTCAGGTCATCTGGACAGTTTCTTCTTTTGCTGAGACGTTTCATCCTTCATCCAAAGGACTTCTTCAGCTTCAGTTATGTTCAGTGCACTGTAGCCTGAGCAATAAAAACACGACTCACAGCAACCTGAGCGTCACATGCCTGAACTGACATTTTGAAATCTTTTAAGGTTTTGACACTTTCACAGTTTACATATTACAAAGATATAGAACGTCCAACTGACAGTCGATGAAGTCACGCTCCAACTTCTGGACTGTCCACAACTTTCAAACTTGTCATTTTACTCCTACAGCTTTTTTAATATCCAGGAAAACGTTTTGTCTTCTATCACCCAATGATTGTGTTTGCTCTAGTACTTAGGGTTTTCTCACAAAACTCCCAGAATACAGAGCGCACACCCAAGCTTCCATAGACTTCAGCTTGATTTTAGGTCAAAATATTATTTTTAAAGCTGGAACTGACGACTCTTTTCATATCTCCAACATAAAACCCTGTAGCAGTGCAGAGCTTCAGACGGCCAAGCTTCAAGAATTGACTGAGGCTTACTTTTCAGTCTGTTTTTGTTTGTCTCTCCTAGGTTTGATGTCAGGGAGTGACAGACACAGGTGTGCGGTTACCACGGTGACTTTAATGAGCCACTGGCAGCAGCTTTAGTGTTTCTTTTGCTCTTTGTGTGTTTTGCACAGTTTAAACAGTTCATAGATCAAAATGTAGGCATTTATTCTTAGCTTGGACACAAATTGCACATAATATATAATACAGTGACACAATGCTGTAGATAAAAAACTTAAAGTTACAAAGTAGATGATGCTGGAATCCTGTCTTAGCTTGAATTGGAGGTTTGTTAAATCCAAATGTAAAGAAGGATTTAGGAGGTACAAAAAGTAGAAACTGGTATTTTCAAAGGTGGAAAAATTGGACAATAAAAAAAAAACTGTTTTGCGTTAAAGATAAAAAGGCTGTATATGTTAATGTTCAACAGTGAAGCAGGTAAAAGACCTTGGACTGATTCCAAGCATGATGTTTTCCTTTGAAAGCTGCTGATTTGAAGCCACGTGTCTTGAGAGAAGCGTTCAGTGCAACAAAACCTGCGGCAGCGTTGCGCTGCCAGAGCACATCCTGCACATAAACAACAGGAACGATCAGTTTACATCAACCATCCGATGCGCAGACGTCTGGGAAGTGTCAAACACAGGAGGCTGGCATTGGACCACACTCTCAGGCTCAGTTTGTTCATAAGTGCTGCCTTGGAAATCTTAGATAAGCTAAAGAGACAAAAAGACCTAAGTCCAGCTCTGGAAACAAAAAGGGGCTCAGCAGTTAGAACATGGTGATAAAAGCAGGAGTTTGGGCAGTTTGCTGGTAACACAATGCCAAGAAGGAAAGACATCAGCAATGACCTTAAAGATTGAAGTCAATCTAACGATTTCACCCAAATAAAAGCAGAAAAGAACATGAATCTGTCAGATTTGATAGCAGCTTTTAGAAGTGGACATTCGTGTCTTCAATAACCAGGGGTGGAAGTATTACAGATTACAAATACTCAGATTTTTTTGGGTACTTGTACTCTTATGAGTATTTCTTTCAAGTGTGTAATTTTACTCATACTTAAGTACAATTTAGGCCATGTGATCTACTTCCCTACTTTTAAAATCAGAAGTTGCTACGGAGTACGGCTGCAATAAGATTCTCAGATCGTGAACGCACCAGTTACCTATGACGTAAGCAAAGGACAACTCTGTAGAGTAGAGAGTCATTTATGGACCGAAGATTTGGAGAAAAGACAAAATGGAGACAGAGGACAACAACAGAGAACATGATGAGGTAAAGGCTGAGGACGAGTGCCCGTGGTCGTACCTGGAGGAATGTTTCATGTACAGAGGGAGAAAAGGAGACGGGTCCAAATGTAAACTTTGTTTGATCTCTACAGTGATAGGAGCTGACAAGACTTCAGCATCTAATCTCTAAACACATATTGTGGTATAAGAGGTTTTACAACTACCTGTATGACATTGTTTTTTATTGTTTGTATGTGTGGGTTATTAGTTTGGCTAAGTATTCAAAGATCTTGTCACTGCTCTTGGTTTAACTGATACTAAAATAAGATGGAGCTTCTGAGAGTCTGAGAAATGAGCTTTGAATGTACAAAGTAGCTGTTGTATACATTAAATCAAACTGAATGACTTCTATTAACAATACAATAAAACATCCATCCATTATCTTTACCCGCTTCTTCCATTTTGGGTCACGGGGGTCACTGGTGTCCATGTCCAGCAATCACTGTGCGAGGGGCGGGGTACACCCTGGATGG